CTTCACACCGACTCAGGTTCGGCTGTCAGACAACCGGCGCAGTTTTAGATTCAGGTGGCGAGTTCGAGGCCGGAACCGAAAGACCGATGGTTGTATTATAGGGGCCCTAATAATAAGAATAGGTTGTCGCGGCCCGATATACTTTTATTGTAATAAGGAACCCACAAAATCGCACCCACCGCTCTGTGCCTTGTCTTTGTCTTGGAAAGCTGGATTCAATCTCTGTAGCTTCCTCGGCCAGAGGTACAACGATTAGTGGGGCCGCAATAAGTTCAATGGGGTTTGGGGGTGTTTAGGCCTGGGTGTACCTGCAGCCCCATAAGCAATCTCAACCGAAGCCCTTAACAATACAAGGGCCTGAAGGCTTAGACTGGATTTTCGCATCTTTATACCAAAGCCATGCTATATAAAAACGTTGATTACGGAGGTGCCTTTGGCACACCCGTAAACCCTAAACTTTTAACTCCACGCTCACGAGATTCAGTCAGGAAATTGAAGCATGAGCCGGCCACCAAAACAATACCTGCGTAAATCATGTATATACTTGGGGTATCAGGGGACTTAGTAAGCGTGCTGTAGTTTATTGTAAGGAATTAATGAGAAGCATACAGTTGCTAAGATCGTAGTAAATAGGGCTTTCATTCCCAACACAAACTTGTAAATTGTTGGGTCTTCTCTGACTAATGATGTGGTTCACAGATGCGACCTGAAGGCGAGTGGTGTCAATTTTTTAGAAATGATTCAATACAAGTCATGGCTGTACCCAAATCCCTTTCAAATGCCCGTTTCGTAACTGACTGAAGCCGAAGCTCTTCATCACATCGTCAATGTTGGACGTAGTGAGCCCGGTCTCGTAAATCACATCGACATCCTGCAGATCGACCTCGGAGCTATGAGATGAGCATCTGCAGTTCTGACGGAGCCACTCAACCCTCTCTCCAGCAGCAAAACAGCCCACTTCCAAGCGACTGCGATCCACTCAATCTGTCCTGGTAGGCTGAAAAACTGCACGCATGTACGTAGGCACGCAGGTAGGTAGGTAGGTAGGTAGGCGGGCAGGTAGGAGGCACGCAGCCCTCTCTCTATCCCTCTCTTTCCCTCGGGCCTCCTTCACCTCCACCGTTTTTCCCGCGCTTTTGAGCAGCACCGGGAGGCTCACCTCCACAATCCTCGGAGGCCGCTGACTTCGGGCGTTGAAGGCTTCTCCGGGCTTGCGGCTTGTCTGTGGTTGGCTTTAATCCAGCCTTTGGCCCGTCTTGGCTTCGGGACTGGGGTTTTGAGGAGTTGGAGCTGCAGGCCGCAGTTGCTTCGAGATTGCCCGTGCTCACGGCCGTCGGGCTTCGCAGGGAACTGTGAAGACAACTGTCTTCCGTACTGGCAAGCCTACGACCATCTGGTGGTGCGAAGAAATCCTTCCACGCTAAACCCTAGACATGACCCTACACCTCTAAATCCAAAAACCCATCCATAGGGTCGCTAGGCTTTGATGTTAGCAATCACACAACTGCAAAGTTCGAGTCCAGCGGCATCTTTCCTGACCGCAGGAGGTACTCCGAGTAGTAGCCTTCAGGGTTGGTGACCACGACGTTGTCCACGGCGATTTTGCCATGGAGCGCATCGATCTCTATGTCACCAATGTCCTTTGTGATGGGCATCGGGCTAGCAGGATATCGGCTGGTCGTCTTCCACCAACGGCCGCAACGAGTTGCTCAAAAAATGATCCTGCACAAAACCTTTCAAGAGATCCAACCCTCCGAATGTGGACTTCTGACTGCAAGACCACACAACCCTAAAGCCCAAAGAACCCTGAACCCAAAGCTCAGATGGGACATGGACAGCCTAAGCTGCCGACCACCTTCACGCCCAGGGCCTCAGCGAGCTGGGTCTCTGGGCAGTTGTGGATGCTCACAAGAGCGAAACAGGACGCTTTCATACGAGCCTCAGCAAGTAGGATCATGTGCCGGTATATGCACCTCCTATGCATCGTTTCTCCCTCGAATTCGATGCCCGAACCCTTAACTTGCCTAACCTCACAGCACATACCCTAAACCCCGGAAAACCCTAAACCCTAAACCTTAAGTCCGATATCATGCAAAACATCCTCAACCCTAAACCACCAAACCACTAAACCCCCGAACACCTAAACCCCTAAACACCTAAACCCCCAAACCCCTAAAGCCCTAAACCCTACGGCCCGAAACTCTTAAAGAGCCGGGCCCAAGCCTTGGCATCGAAGCTCTTCACCAGAGATCTTACGGCACGTCCCAGGAGATTCCTGGCGAAGAATCATATAGTCGGAATACGGTTTAGGCCTAAGGACCAAGCCATATAGTCAAAATAGGGTTCAGGGTGTCCGGGTAAAGAGAGTCATATAGTTGGAATTGTTTTTAGGGCTTAAGACAAAGAGTCATATAATCAGACGTTAGGGCTAAGAATCATATAATTGGGTCAGGGTTACGATAAGGGTTGGTTTAAGGATTTCGCAGAAGGCTCCTGTAGGTGTTTCGCTAAAGTTACTCTAAGGGTGTCGTATAGCGGCCTTAAATCTTGGAATGCAGTTTCCTTCCAAGAGCTCCTTAAAGAGGCCCTTACAAGAATTACGACAAGGGTTTAGGAAAGGGGCTGAAGAAACAGAACTGGAACCCCAACGAGTAGTATTGGTAAAAATGCTGACCCCCCAACCCTCGGAGGCCAAAACTTACAAACACTCTAGCAGGCCTGACGGAAACCGAGAGGAACCTTGTAGTCTAAAGAACCATGATAGAGCCCGAACCCAAAACCCTTATTCGGCGACTACAAAACCCGAACCGAACATGAAGCTCACCCGGTCCCGGGATTGATGAGAGTAGCCGCTAAAGGCTCTAGACTCTAGAAGACAGCCCGAACAGGATTTACGGTTTGTTTAGGGTTCAACCAAAGCCAAGGGCAACGACGAGAGATGCTAACATAGGCAAAGACTCAAAGCCGCTACACCCGAAACTCTAAACCCTAAACGGACCCTAAAGACGCCAAACCTCTACAACCAAAAACAAAACCCAGAACCCATAAAACCCTAAGTCCTAAACCCGAAAACCGACTCGCACGCCCAGGCACGTTCCGACCGCATCGTCCTCTGCAGCTGCAGCCTCAGCCTCAGGCTCAGCGGGGTCCTGCGAGCCGCAGCTGCAGGATACATGCAAGGGACTTGGCAACTGAAAGGGCTCCTTAAAGGGTTCTACAAGGGATCTATGGGGGTTTAGGGTACTTAAAGAATCATGAGACTCAGTAACTAGGGTTATAAATGAGGCAACTACACTTAGCATGACTTTTGACCCCAATTATGGTACTTATAGCCTTACTGGCTAAGTCCCCCGATCCTCCAAGTAGAGAACACTATGATACCGTGAAAAGTCAAGGATACCACATCACAACTTAAATGCTCTAGCATAGCAGAACCTAACACAAGGTAACACCACATGATAACATAGGACAAACCACGATGAAAGACACTACAGTGCAGCACAATCTGATGCCACGCAATGAACTTTACAAGACGATGCAATACAAGACACAATGCTATTATTACAACTTACAGCGGCAATTGCAATACAGTACAGTACAACAGAATACAATCTTCAAGTGAAACAGATTTAGGGTTGATTCCTCTGCTTGTTTCCTTATTACTGAGCAGGGAACGGCCTCTGCAGCATGAACCGTTGGCATCGTGAGCATCTTTGCTAAGGCAGGCAGTCTTCCGCATTAGTCCGGAGAGTCGTCGGAAACTTGTATGGGAACTGCACAGACAAGCTATGGCAGCTACTCCAGGAGAAAATAACGAATGAATGATGATGCAGCCCATTGCCTTGAGGGCTTCCTCCGCTGGAGGAGTTGTCCCCCTGACAGCGGCTGACATGATGTGCTGCCACGTACCGAAGTTGGTGGGAAGTCGAGGTCTGCTGATGGAGATGGACCGGCTGTCGGGCTCAGTTTAGGGGGTCAGGGTCTAGTGTTGACAACTTGACCGCTCAACGACAGTCTTGGATCTGCGGAAATGAATCGTGAGCGTCCATGCAAAAAACCGAGACGTTCTCGGACAGCCTCTTTCAAGCCCATCTCAGGCAAGCCGACTGCATGACACAACACTGAAGAGTGTGTAACGGTGAGCTGGCCTACAAGTATGTATATGCGTATGTATGTATGTATGTGTATACATGGACAGATACAGGATTGTATGCATGTGTGCATCCGGTATTTGTGAAGTTAGGCAGGTATGCGAATACATATACGTAGCTGTGTGTAGGTTTATGTATGTGCGTGTGCATGAGCAGGTTCACGATAGGACAACACCAGCCTTAGCCCGCCTTAGCATGGGTGTTCCAAAGACTGTCCAGAAGGGGTGACACAATCGCATGCTGCTGCCGACCGAGATGGGCACTTTCGACCTGAGGCCTCGGACCATGCCCTACAATTCGACAGTACGACCCCAGGCAAAAATCCGGCCTCCTGGTGCGTGTGAGCAACGTCGGCAGCTGCATGGCCGTGAAGAAATGGAAGGTGGTGGTGAGGACCGGCGCTGAAAGAGCTGCCAAACGGCTGCCCCGGACGGACAAATGCTCTGGAGCAGGATTCTTCCTGCATGTATACTTCTTTATAGCTTTGCAAACCATGCTCGATGCTACTGACTTTAGGGGCTTGAGGGGGCCAGGAGCCACTGACTTATTAATTACTAATTCGACGAGGACAGCTTGTAGGGGTTCCCGACCAGGTGATCTTAAGCGCATAGCTTAAGTGTCTCTGGTAGATGTCTCTCCTCTCCAGGCATGCACAAAGCATTCCGAAAAAACTCGCATCCCTGAACCGTTCACACCCTCGACCCCGAACACTCCACTCAACAGTACTCCGAAGAGCCCCAAGGCTCCTTGTTGGTAACTATATACGATACGACATGCCCAAATGTCGAATTTTTGCCTATTAAGGCCTCTGTGGTCTCTACAGGAAACCCTGAAATCTAAAGGGCAGACCATGTCCAGCTGTTCTCGAAGCTGGCCAAGCCTCAGTCGGGAGGGAACGACTCCGAATTAGAAACCTGGCTCTTCGCCCAAGGGTCCAAAGGACCCAGTAATTAGAAACTCGGTTTTGGGATAGAAGTTATGTAGGTCAGGATTGCGGAGAGTATATGATTATCAGGTGCTTGGACCCCTTGCGGTTCCGTCTAGTTCTTAGTTGGGAATGGGGGGAATGGGTCATGGGGACCATTATTGGGGATTATACAGGGGCTACTATAGGGATCCATTCCACCATTCCCTACTAAGCACCAGACAGTTCTGACCACAAAACTTTCCGGGCCAAGAAGCCCTGAACCCGAAGATGCATACCGGTCCGTGAATGTGCCGAGTGCCGATGTGCATACTTCAACTGAAAAAGACCAGCCACGCACGCTCTACAAGCATGCATGCAAAACCAGGAAGATGCATAAGACTATGGTTGCTATGACTGCTCTGGCTATGCGACTTGTTAAGCACGTCAACAAGTGACCATTGCACATCAACAAAAACTTGACGATAGCACGGGCCAGAAGTCAGTCAGAAAAAGCCAACCATAACTAAAACAACCGCAGAGAGCAGGCCCGGATTGCAAAAGAACGCCATCTAGGACCAGCACTGAGGGAAACAACAGCCAGAGGAGTAATGCCAGCAACAAATGAACAAATTGGATGTCAACAAATATAAGCGACAAAAAAGCTCTAAGCCTAGGCTCACAGTCAGAAACTTCGCTTCATGGCCGCATCAGAAAGAAAGGCTTTGGAACAGCGTGCTGATGAAACCGCAGCAACAGCAACATGTGCTTAAAACGACTGCATGCAACATGATGCTTTATCAAGTGTCAGGCTCGCGGTCCTCTTAGCATCCTCCGGTGCTTTCTAGCCTTGGGGCCCTCGCTGGCGATCGCGTTCAGAGAGCAACCGAGCCTGCCAAGCAGAAAGCAAAACGAAGTGGTGAACTCTGCTCCGATGCGACGGTGAAGGCTGGGAGCAGGTTCTCCCCCAATGGAATCCGAATGCCAGAGAAGCGACCCTGCTTCAGCGCAGCATGTCAAGGGTCGGACTGAATTTGTTTCAAGGGGGTTTGGCCTCACATGACAATGCACTTGAACATCAACGCCTACACCCGCCCATAGGAAATCTTTTGAACCAAGAAAAAACAAAAACAACCCCGAAGACCCTCCACCCGTAAGGATAAAGCATCCAACCCAAATCCTGAAAGCCTTACCCTCAAACCCTGAAGCCCTGGACCCTAACTCCTGAAGCCCTGCACTGGCCCTACACGTAAGACTAAACCCTAAATGCCTAAATCCCATCCCAAAGCCCCTGCTAATTAATCCTTATAGAACCCTTCAAAAACTCTTGTAGACCCCTCATAGACCCCTTCAAGAACTCTTGTAGAACCCTTCAAGAACTCTTATAGGACCCTTCAAGAACTTTTATAGATCCCTTATAGAACCCTCGCAAAGGAGGCCCCTCCGCCCGCCTTGGTTGCCAGCTCCCGCTCTTTCTCCGCCAGCTCAGCCCTGAGCTGCCTCAGCTCCTGACCAAGGGGTCTTGTCTTCTAATTAGGGTTAGGGTTTAGAGTGTAGGAGTGTAGGGTTTAGGGCTTGGGGTTTAGGGTGTGCGTGGTTTCGATGGCTTTGCAAAGGTCCTTTTAAGGGCAAGGAAGCTTTTGATAGGCGCTTTATAATTGTTCCGTGAGGGTTCTATGGTATGTCAAAAGGTTTGAGTCCAGCTCTTGGGCTTGGCGTTTAGGGTCTTATGGTTTCATGTCTAAGGCTTTTTGGTTTAAGGCTGTAGGGTTGAGGGTTTCAGGTTTGGGTCGACTTTCTTCGAAGCAGGAAGTTGTAGGTCTCCTTTCCCTCTGCGGCCTCCAATTCGAAATACTCCCTATAAGATACAGACATGTGTGTATACATATCTATATATATATATATATATATACACACATGTATACATATACACATACATGTATAGTAAATGTATGTGTGTGTGTGTTGGTGTGTATTGAATTTCTATATATATATATATATGTACTTCTTCTGTGCTTATTTATGTGTGTGTACTGTACTTTAAAGGCAGCTATTCTAATTGGCAAAGCCGCTGTATCATTCTAAAGCCATGTCAACCTATATTTACCTATCTTGTAAACATCGATTGAAATCAGCACAAAGTATCAAGGCCCGAGAATCAAGCACTACAAAACCTTATGAACCCATCCATGCATAAACTAAAAACGCGCGAGACCCTAGATTAAACCCTTATAAGCACCCTAGCAACCCTCCAAAATCGATCATGTGGGTAGTTCTCGGTCACGTTTCAAGTCTCCAAAATACTACGGCACCTTCATAAAAAAAGAACCATAACAAGGTCCGTAATTTAGAGAGCTACCCATCTGCCAGGCCGTATGGGTGCAAGTACCTAACATTCATAAACTCTCCCAAGTAGTAGTAGTAGTAGTAGTAGTAGTAGTAGTAGTAGTAGTAGTAGTAGTAGTAGTAGTAGTAGTAGTAGTAGTAGTAGTAGTAGAAGTAGTAGTAGAAGTAGAAGTAGAAGTAGAAGTAGAAGTAGAAGTAGAAGTAGAAGTAGAAGTACAAGTAGAAGTAGAAGTAGACGTAGAAGTAGTAGTAGTAGTAGTAGTAGTAGTAGTAGTAGTAGTAGTAGTAGTAGTAGTAGTAGTAGTAGTAGTAGTAGTAGTAGTAGCAGCCTACATAATGGCCATAACTACTATCCGAAACCCAAGTACCTAATTATTGGGTCCTTTGGACCCTTAGGGAAGTATCAAGGCCCTTACTGATGGGAGGCCAAAAGGGGGGTTTAAGATTCTTGGGGTAGGGGTTCCTGAATATGAACGCTATAATTATAGGAACCCTAATCCCTACTAAACCCCCATAAGCTAAAACCCTTTTTCTAGACCCAAGAGTAACCTAGGAAGAAAAAGGGTGCCCTTTTTGGTTTAAAGGGGGTTATAAGGGAACCTAAACCCTTAAAAAGGGAATAAGGGCCTACTCTGGGTCCTAGTTTTTGGCCTCCTATGACTTACAGGTCGTCTCAGACGGAAGCGGCGCCAAGTCCTTCTGGAGCTGCACAGGCGGCTCTCCGCTGCGGCCATCCTCGCAGCTGCAACATTTAATATACTTGCAGGATCAGGGACTTAGTAAGTAAGGTTAGAAGTCCCCTAATTGGAGTTATAAGTATAGCTACCTTATTAATAACCCTCGTTGCTAAGTCCCATGATCCTTTAAGCAGGGGCCTCAATAGTTAGAATACTATTGAACAGGGTTCGGGGTGTCTCATACTGAAGATATAATAAGGACCCTCCCCCAAATAGTATAGGTAATTATGAAGGTCCCTATAGTAGTTCAATTCTTCGGGTGGTTTAGGGCAAGTTTAGGTTTGGGGTTTATAGGGTTTAGGGCTATTGGGTTTTCCGGTTTGTGCTCCTATTTTGCTCCGAAGTCTTTACCTCAAAGTCGAAACACAGGAACGCCTATAGGCCCTCGTGCAAACCGAAACAGGGCCCCGTATCGAAGTCCTTATAGACAACCGTTTAAGAAAAGCCCAAGCCATATATGAACCGTCTAGTGTAGAGGTCCTAAACGGTAAACCCGACACCCGAAACTACCCTAAACCCTTTATCCCAAAGCCGCCACATGTTCAGATCTCGTAGTGTAGCATCTAATTAAGCCCCAACCGTAAACCGTTGATTTTCAGAACAAAAGCTTTTTGTAACCTAAGCTTTCCCGCGCAGCCAAAGTCGCCTGGGCTCTTCGGCCGCGCTGAGCAACAGCTTCGGTCACTCCTCGCGATGTCACTGTGGTACTTAATGGATCATGCGACTTCGTAATAAATCCGGCGTAAATACGGTAACTATACTTCTAATTAGGGGACTTATAACGTTACTTACTAAGTCCCATGATCCTCTAAGTAAGATGAGCTGGGCTTCTCCAACTTAGGGTTTGGGGTTTACGTGGTCGTGGGTTGTGTTTCGGGCCTTCTAGATTCTAGGTGTACCAAATCCGCAGGTTCTTCTTGTAAGGTCTGTAAACTCCTAAAGCCACCACATGTCATGCTGTTGAAGACTGCGGATGGTGATGGCCCAAGTTCTGAGGCCGTGGAGAAGACAAACCCGGAACACGTTGAGAAAGATGCTGTTCAGTGAAGTGCCTGCGGCAGTTTCAAGACATGAAAACCGTGTGGGCCCGACACGCTCTCCGAGCCCACGAATAGAGAGGTCAGAATAATTGTCCATGGTATTCCCTTGTAGTTCCCTCGCAAGATTTGCTGTTTTGTAAAGCCCAACACCCTGTCCCAATTCTTCAACCCCTAAAAAAGACCCACGCTTGTGAACAACATTCCAGGAGCTGCAGGCCCTTCTTCGAAGTGCCGGGTCCAGTGCAACGTATGGCTGCTACTTATTCCAATCGATCCCTACTATTTGGGCAACTTCTGGTGGTGGCTTCAGGTACTGCTCATGCGATGGTAGTGATCTAGGATTCTAGCAGTACTAACTAACTCCTGGCCTACGGCAGCTCCGGCAACGACAAAGACCAAGCGCAACTCTGAAGGTATCATGCCCAAGGCGGAGTCCTGGTGGCATGCCAGAATTCCTAGGTGATGGCAGCAATGGTAGGGGCTCGTCAAACAGCAGAACTGCTGTGCAAGAAGAACGGAAAGTTTTGCCGTTGGTAGCAGGCAGAACAGCAATCAGAATACTTTACGCGGCGAGCACAACAGTATGAATTAGCACACCAGCATTTCTGTTGGATAGTACTGCGACCATCTGTCCTCTTTGAAATACACACATGCTCCTGAAGCATCTGCTTATAATTATATGCAGCTATGAAAAGTTGATCATACATAAATAGGACGTCTCTTGGGATGTTTGCACTAAGCTGGCGACGCTTCTACTAAAGGAGTTCACGTGCATCGCACGAAAGCACCCTGCCCCGCGAAAGAAGCTCAGCCCTCGGCGAGAGCGCACGCTGTCTCTCTGAGAAGCCCTCCGGGAAGGGTTTCGGGTATCGGGTTTTCTTCTGGATTCAGGGGCCAGCGACGTCTGGTGTGCGGGGCTTAGGAAGGTTTAGGACTACAGTTCCGGACACTGCCTCACGAGCCGGAGAATGGAGCAATCTGCCAACTTGTAGTTTGCTGGATCGGTGTGCGCAACATGTGGGACCTCTCCGAGGTTCTTCTTCAGACCCGGGCGAATCCTTTGAAGCAATATGCAGGCCTGTTTGAATCAGGAAACGCCCAGAGTATAAGACTGATTCCTTACCCCAAGCCTTCAACCGTAAACCCCAAAACCCTGAACCTTAAAACCTAAACCCTAAAGCCCTAAAGCCCTAAACCCTATACCCTGAAGCCCTAAAGCCCTAAACCCTAAAGCCCTAAAGTTTAGGGGCCCTGAGCCCCAAGCCACCAGACCCAAATCCGACAAGACAATGCGCGAGTCTTGCTTTTAGGGTTTAGGGTTTAGGGTTTGGGGTTTAGGGCTTAGGGTTTGGGGGCTTGGGGCTTAATGTGTTATCCGTTTAGGGTTTAGGATGGTTTAGGGTTAGGGGTTGGGGTTCAGGGTGCGATGGGCAATGTCTATTCGCGGATCCCATGATGAATTATTACTTAAACCCCTTTTCTTTAAGGCCCCTAACATGGTGCTTGCTGGGTGGACTCTGGTGGGATTGGGCTAGAGTCTAGAGGATCTCATGTGATAGGGTCGGTGAATATCGCATAGACTGAAAAATCAGCTGCAACGTTGGGCAAAAGACGGTACAGCAAACTGAAACGCTACGTATTCTTTGGGTCTGGTCCATATTACTTGCGTCAACCAAACACCGCCTTCCTTTGCAAAACCGGAGACCAAGGGCTCCAAAACCTTAACCTTAAAAGCCTATTCCGAAAACCTATGAACCCTTCAAGCGCTAAACTAAACTCCTAAGCCCCTACTATAGTACCCTAAAAAGTAGGATCCTAATTATAAGGACCCCAAGTCAAGTACTCAGAATTGAAAGCAGCCCTAAAATAGTAGGATCCTTATTTTAAGGACCCCAAAATCAGGCACCCATAATTGAAAGCAGCCCTAAAATAGTAGGATCCTCACTATAAGGACCCCAAAATCAGGTACCCATAACTGAAAGCAGCCCTACAATAGTAGGATCCTTATTATAAGGACCCCAAAATCAAGCACCCAGAATTGAAAGCAGCGCTAAAATAGTAGGATCCTTATTATAAGGACCCCAAAATCAGGTACCCAGAATTGAAAGCAGCCCTAAAATAGTAGGATCCTTATTATACGGACCCCAAAATGAGGTACCCCAAAACCAGTCACCCATAACTGAAAGCAGCCCTACAATAGTAGGATCCTTATTATAAGGACCCCAAAATCAAGCACCCAGAATTGAAAGCAGCCCTAAAATAGTAGGATCCTTATTATAAGGACCCCAAAATCAGGTACCCATAACTGAAAGCAGCCCTACAATAGTAGGATCCTTATTATAAGGACCCCAAAATCAAGCACCCATAATTGAAAGCAGCCCTAAAATAGTAGGATCCTTATTATAAGGACCCCAAAATCAAGCACCCAGAATTGAAAGCAGCCCTAAAATAGTAGGATCCTTATTATAAGGACCCCAAAATCAGGTACCCATAACTGAAAGCAGCCCTACAATAGTAGGATCCTTATTATAAGGACCCCAAAATCAAGCACCCATAACTGAAAGCAGCCCTACAATAGTAGGATCCTTATTATAAGGACCCCAAAATCAAGCACCCAGAATTGAAAGCAGCCCTAAAATAGTAGGATCCTTATTATAAGGACCCCAAAATCAGGTACCCATAACTGAAAGCAGCCCTACAATAGTAGGATCATTATTATAAGGACCCCAAAATCAAGCACCCATAATTGAAAGCAGCCCTACAATAGTAGGATCCTTATTATAAGGACCCCAAAATCAAGCACCCAGAATTGAAAGCAGCCCTAAAATAGTAGGATCCGTATTATAAGGACCCCAAAATCAAGCACCCAGAATTGAAAGCAGCCCTAAAATAGTAGGATCCTTATTATAAGGACCCCAAAATCAAGCACCCAGAATTGAAAGCAGCCCTAAAATAGTAGGATCCGTATTATAAGGACCCCAAAATCAAGCACCCATAACTGAAAGCAGCCCTAAAATAGTAGGATCCTTATTATAAGGACCCCAAAATCAGGTACCCATAACTGAAAGCAGCCCTAAAATAGTAGGATCCTCATTATAAGGACCCCAAAGGACACCAAAATCAAGCACCCAGAATTGAAAGCAGCCCTAAAATAGTAGGATCCGTATTATAAGGACCCCAAAATCAAGCACCCAGAATTGAAAGCAGCCCTAAAATAGTAGGATCCTTATTATAAGGACCCCAAAATCAGGTACCCATAACTGAAAGCAGCCCTAAAATAGTAGGATCCTCATTATAAGGACCCCAAAGGACACCAAAATCAAGCACCCAGAATTGAAAGCAGCCCTAAAATAGTACCCCTACTTGAAAACAGAAACTTCCGAAACCTCGGGCTCAGGGCGATGAGGCCTCCACGAGTCGAGCCCCCAAGGAGGGCTTCTCCTGAAAAGCCGAAACAGCGACGACTTCCGGTGGACAGAACCTCCACCAATCAATATATATATATATATATATATGTATATATGTATATATGTATATATATATGTATATATATATGTATATATATATATACACATATACATATATATATATATATATATGAATACTATATTCTAGTGACACTGAGGAACCCATAAGAAATGGTATTAGCATAAATATTCAGGCTACTAAAATAACAGGAAGTGATGGAACAGGCTCCATTTTATCGCCGGCCTAAGACCTGGTCAATGCTGACTCTCAGAGAGTCCCGTTCGAAGTCCTCGTCATAGCGCGCAGCCTCCGTGTAGGAGGGTATGCAGTTCTCCACCTGAGTTTCAGGGTTGAAGATTTGTCGGCGATGCACCGAGCATTTTCGAGCGATCTCGATTCCGCATCACGCCTCATGCAGCATTATTGAAAGCCGCAGAAGCAAAGATTCCCAGCTGGTGTTCCGTGGAAAGGGCTGTGATATCAAGAAGCTCGATCCCATTTCACCAAGAACGGTTCTCGGGTTCCTACACCCCCAACCCTCGTTTGTTGGGGTTCGAGGCTTTGACCAAGGTCCTGACGCACCTTGCCTTGGCTGCAAATCTCAACGATGTCAGAGATCTTGGCAGGCTCAGGAGCCATGGAGGCAGCAGTTTTGTTCTATGTGGGGGTTTCCGATAATAGGGAACCCCAATATAGTGCCCTAAATAGTAAGATCCTTATTATATCTTATTATAAGGACCCCAGAATATGTTATCCCTAATTTTCGGCAACTCCCATATGTCAGACTGAATAGGATTTGCGTTCGGCTCCCTGTCCACAGAGACTTCCCCAGAGCAATGGGCCAAAGGTCTGCATGTACCAGGTTCGGGTGCAGATGTACGAAGTTAAGGCCGAACGTTCCTCCACGGGATTCAGCACGGACAACCGTTCCAACATCCATTGGGGATTGTGCTGCCTATGTGGGTGTATGTGGAGCCTCATGAACCAAAAAATGCAAAAAATCGGCCCCGTAAGAGGTTCTCCGACGATGGAGATCAACAAGGATTACCTACCATCATCCCCTTCTGCCGCAAAGGTTACGGTTCCGGCTACAACAGGGACTATAACTGAAAGTTCTTGTACATCGATCTGCAAGACGTCGCAGCAAAGCAACTCCGAGCCATCCCGACACACCGAAACCCTAAACCCTAAACCCTAAGGAAGCTGACAAAGATGAGCCTGGCAGAACACAAGGCATGCACGACGAATCGAATGATTCGGCAGATCTTGCTTCCCGCTGGGATCGTGGCTGCTCTGAAAAGGTCACGGCTGGATGTACCGTCACCTGTTGAAGCTTCCGCTGCTTCCATGCTTTGCTGAGAAGTTATGGCTAGCCGGGAAGGTTTCGGGCCGCATTTCTTGCCAGTGTGTTTGCTGCCTTGCTTCACCCGGGCTCGAGTGACACGGTGCCCGGGGCCCACAAACGAAATTCCCATAATAAGGAACCCCCAAAACAAAATCATATGGGTAATTATTTAGGCTCCTGTAGTACTTTGCTACTCAGCCTCAGGGCTCAGGACCCGGCCAGAAGCATCGTCAAGGCATCGCCCCCAAGCGAAGAGCGTAAGACCTTCTCCAGGGGTCGGAGAAAAGCAGTGGTGCCGCAGTGCTAGTACTACTACTGTTGCTAGACTTGCTCGCGCCTGCATGGCTTTGTCGTAGAAGGAAGCTCGCTTTTGCTGGTACCCATCGCACTTAGACAAGTATTAGCCTTACGAGTACGACTAAAATATTAGCAATACCTCGTGTGTGTAGCCACACTGCTGGTAGGTGCATTCGTAGTCTCTTTGGCTAGGCATGGTGGATGCCACTTCACAGCTCGGAGTTCGAGGTTGGATACTTTCAGCCCGACGGCGAGAACGAGGATGGTGATGGTAGCAGTGATCGTGATGAGGCGGATGCTGGTCATCACGAGGAGGCTTGTCACGACTGCCATTTTGCTTCTGTATGCTAAACTCGTATGGATTTACATGACAACTTACATATACCAGTGTGCTAGCTTACACACACAAAATACAAAATGCACCACCCTGCGATTCAAGACTGAAAACCTCCATAATCGTACTGAGCCATGCTCGTGATGACTTGAAGACCCTTTCACGAAGATCCATGTGCCCGGCGCGCGTCAATTTGGAGTCTCCTCGGCCAGACACAGGCGGCAATCCGGGTAAGGTTTAGGGTTTAGGGTTTAGGGGTTAGGGGTTAGGGTTTAAGGTTTATGGATAACTTAGAAATCCAAGGATGAGCTGAAGGCAGCACCAGAGCACCTGTCATTCTGAATTTGCCCTTGAAGCTTCAGGATTATCAAAACAAGCAGCAGCCGCAACAGCAACAACAGCAACAACAACAACAAACAAAACCGAAGTATTCTACTTCGAACATCCCCACCCTAGCGCCTTGCCCTTCCTACACGCAAATCCTAAGACCTAAAGAACCCGAGCCTAAACCTTAAACCCTGGTGTTCCCGAGCACTCCAGGGATTCTCACGGTGGTCTGTGGGGTTGGGCACTCCAGGGATTCTCACGGTAGTCTGTGGGGTTGGGCACTCCAGGGATTCTCGTAGTCTGTGGGGTTGGGCACTCCAGGGATTCTCGTAGTCTGTGGGGTTGGGCACTCCAGGGATTCTCACGGTAGTCTGTGGGGTTGGGTACTCTAGGAAGTAATCTCAGCGGGCGAGGAGTAATAGCTGACTTTAAAATCTATCAACCCCACACCGCGGGTGGGCAACAATGACAATCCCGACACCGGCGACAACGACAAGGACCAGACTCGGTCGACGACGACGATGACGACGCCGACGCCGATGCCGCTGGAGACGACGACGAGGACGAGGACAGCAAACGACAACAGCAACCACGATGTTGGTCAAGACGACGGTGACCCGAATGCCGAGGATACGGATGAAAAGCATGAGAATGATGATGATGATAGTCATGATGATGATGACAGAGACGATATCTCTGCTGATGCTGAGCACGATGGCGGTCATGCAGCCAATCTCCGTGGCGACAATTCTATTGTTTCATATTGGTGGCTATCATGGTCAATCTTGGAACCGTCGTTGTACTGATAGCGAAGCCGCGTGCTTATGGATCTTGGTGTTAAGTCGCTCCGGACCCCGTAATGGACGAGCATCGGTAGGGGATGAAGTCCGTGCTCCGCTCTCGGCTGCGAGGCCTTGTGGCTGCAGGCGCTCTCTTTAGCTACGAGCATAGCAGAAACTAGTCAAACAAGGGTACCACGGATAGTACGATTACTGTTTCTGTTGCAATGGAGCTGTATAAACGTGTGTACAGTAGTTGACACTGCGCATGAAACTACACAGACTATCCATGAAGCTATAGTTAGCAATGCAGGTGCTTCCCTTGCTCACATTTGCAAGCATAGGTTTTCCTCTTTAGGATGCTGCGTTTTGCGAGGCGGGAGAGGCTTGAGACTTCACGGAGGATCGGGTTGTAATTGGGGTTTCGGGACTTGGAGCATCATGGATGCACGAATGCGAGCATCAAAGTGGGCGACACGGACTATCTGATTCTTCGGGCAGCAACACTTGATTAAGGCTGGTCCTAAACAGGTTAAGGGTTTTGGTAAGGGCATTGCAGGGGGACGAGAGTTGGCCGTGATTATTTGGGTTGCCCATCCTGTCTCAGCAAACTCCAAGATAGACCGTGCCGCAACCAGGTGGCCCCGGCAGAGATCGCCCTTCTCCCTGTGCTGCATAGCCTGCACCGGGGTTGGGCTTATACAGATCCATAGGCACGCAACAGGAGCTGATACAAAAATCGGTACTCCTGGGCCATTTTGCCGTTCGCAGGTTTTTATTACAAGCCATTCGTCGAGTTGCAGCTCTACTTCTCACACCCGTCGTTGCGCAGCTTCCCGAGTAGCTGAAAGGAAAGGCTCCAAGGAGCCGGTAGTTTGACAGACTGTAGCATCAACCGAAAGCAGCCGATGCCGCGGAAACTCTGATTGGATGGGCATGGCCTGTTCGAGATGTGCTAGAAGCTTGAGCACTGCTGGAATGTGCAGAAACTCTGCCTGACACACAAGAAGTGCGTCTTCTATGTATGTATACAGAAAGAATGTGTATATAAAGACACTTATTTATGTGTATACTGACATGCATACACACTTTTTTGAGAGGGGGGACTCCACAGCCAACTCCAACTTGTGAAGCAAGACACAGCACTCGCGTGGCCGGAGGGCCGCGAAGGTCCCGGCTCCCTTCCCTGCGGCCTCCGTGTCGTGGTGTGCTGGGACCGGCATCCTTCGTTGGCAGTTTCAGATCTAACAGTCATTCCGGAAGCTCAGACACGTGCTACCAGTGCAGGAGGCGTGGAGGTCCACAAAGATGCGCCGATAGTACAGTCTTCTGTCCGATTGGGACTTGTTTGCTGGCGCATTCTTCTCGGTAACGTACCGTTGTGCGAAGTCTCGGTTGGTGGTGGTTCTGATTTCAAGCCTTGGATCTGTCTTGAAGGAAACAGTCGCGACACCGCCGTAACACCCACAGCCACACTGTCCTTTCGCAGGTCAGCGGGTCCGGAAGGAGATCGTCGATGGCCTCCTGCAGACGTGTCTTGGCCGTGTTTGGGCAGGCAGAACAGCCACGTGAAATATGTGTACGTACTAGTCTAGCATAGATAATGGGCAGATGGATGGATGACAAGATGGTCAGATAGTTTGATAGAAGCTGGCATGAATATAGACAGAGATAGATATCTCTGCACAGCCATCCTTCCCTCCCTCCGACCATCTGTCAATCCATACATGCTGGCACCTTTACACTCACACATACAGCATACATACGGCCCAGAAAAAGCAAACATAAAGGCTGCGTGCAGTCATGCTTCTGTGAGCGTAGGTGAGTACAGTCATGCATTACATATACGTCTGCATAAACAGATACAGTTGTATGAATACGTCCATGCACACATCTACCGTGGAAGCATGCATAGGCATTTGTATTCATCCCGTGTCTCACACACCTGCATGTTCAGCTGGGAGACCGCAAGTACCTGCAAGTCGTTGACTCCGCGTATCAAAACGAATAACAGAAATGCACGAAACTACCCATAAGCCCCACAGTAGTTCCTTTTCGGGGTTCATGTTTTGAATTCCATAAGGTACTCACAAGAAAAGACTACTATAGGGCCTATGGGTACCCCTAACATTTCCCCGCCGGGCCCCTCCCTAATAATCACTACGAATGGTGGCTTCGCAGCCCATAGCCGAAGCTAGAAAACATCACTGATATTTGGGGCAACCAAGACTGGATTGGTTTGACTTAGGCCTGAGGCTAAACAAATCAGTTTAATTACTGGTGATACTACTTGCTGACTTAAGTATTTCAAGTTGGACACTCTCCGCAAAAATCAACTCAACAAGTACCGTGACTTCCTCTACTACTTGACCATTAACCAGCCAAGTATTAGGGTTCTTGTTGACAGAAAGATGTGCGCCAACTAGATCGAACCCATCCCCAGCCCATCCGGCCGAATATATTTTTCGGGCACAAGTCAAATTTCAATTTTTGGGATTGGGGGCTGAGGGTTTACGGTGGGAGGCCAGTATTCAGGGAGGAATTATGCTTTTCCAGTGCTCACCTTCCCGTGGGCGCCGTCCATCTTTGCAGAGGCGCGAGATCACCTGCTTGGAGGATCAGGGGACTTAGTAAGTACGGTTATAAGCACCCTAATTGGAGTTATAAGTATAGCTACCTTATTAATAACCCTCGTTGCTAAGTAGTAATTACCCTAATTGGGGCTTTAGGGGCCTTGGGGTTTTGCAGGTGTTAGGCATCGGTAGGCTGCAGGGGGCTCAATTGGGACTTGATAAGCGGTCTTCGGGTTTATGGAGTTTAGGGTTTCGGTACAGGGTTCACCTGCCATCCTGTCTCGGCACCGGTACTTATAAGAAACTCTGTAGGGCACCTTTGACGACCTAAGCTTCGTAGGTTTACTGCGCATCTTCACTAATGCATACGCTGACCCTCTGTGCCGGTGGCACTTCGGACGAAGTTCAAGCAATATGCCTTTCAAGCGATCCGGACAGTATACCGGAAGTAGAATCCCTGAGGTCGAGGCGGAATGAGGAAGGAATTGAACCCGGAAGTTAGACAACTCTTGCAGGCAGTTTGCAGGCTGCACTCCCTGTTTTTGACCGTCTTCTGCGGCACGATCCATTATCTGAGACACACGCAACGAGGTGTGCGGTCGCTCCGTCTCCAAGCCAGCTGGCCTTCGTTCGAAAACCTCGTCGCCGTACTCCACCAAGGAGGCCTTGTACTGCCTCCTAGGTCCCCCGTCTCAGCGTGAAAGGCGTGGAGACGGGTGGGGTGAAGTAGGCAGGGCCAGTGAAGGAGATCCCACCCTCGGGCTGCTCGGCGACATGCCACTCGTGCTGCATGCTGCGCCACTCCTGGAATTCTTCGTCGAGGGGCTCTTCACGTGAAAGCAGGTTGAACACAACGCGAGCAGCACAGAATGGGCATGGTAGATGCTTTATTGTGTACCTATGCTGCTGTCACCGCTTCGTCGATGACGACGGCGACGGCGACTGCTTCTGCTACTCCAGTATCGGCTCGTACTAAAACCGTGGCCTGAATGATCATCACCACCGTCGTCATCATGAAAAGTTAGACCGAAGCCGTCGATGCATGATTGCAACGCCTAAAATGATCTTGACCCGCACGACAGGAGACAACAAGCTGCAATATACTGCGAATACAGATACCTACATAAGTCTTGTACACATGGTATCTATCGATCTGTTTATCCAAAAGAGAGAGAGAGAGAGAGAGAGAGAGAGAGAGAGAGAGAGAGAGAGATATATATATATATATATGTGTGTGTAGATAGATAGGTATACAAATACACACTTCTACTATTCAATCAATATATATATATATATATGTATATATATATATACACACATATATATGTATATATATATGTGTGTATATATAACATATATATATATATATATATATGTGTGTGTGTGTGCGCGTGTACATACAAATCTTACACTTGTGTGTATACATATAAAAGAGTAAACATATACATATACATAAATATATCCATATGTATATACAAATTCCATACACATTCATATGTACATTATACTTATATGCATACATATGCATGTAAATATGTATGTGCACAAATTTCAACACCCCGTGGAGATCGCAGGCACAGCTCCTGGACGAAGCCAACAACCATCGCCAGGCTCAGGTCCTCCCGACAACCGTTTGACCAAAACAGAGACCTAGTTGGAAGAATGTGGGGGAACGGTGTTCCCTTAAAGGGATCCTTGAAGGGTTCTTGGGATCTATAGTAGGGTTGCATATTGAGGGGGCTTAATAAATAATTGGAACAAGGCTTTGGGCGCAATACTATGATGATAACATCGAGCCACTAAAATAGTGGAGGCTACTATACGATTATTATGAAGGCCCCTATAATAAAGTTTAGGGCTTGGGGTACCCGCCCCTCTCCCGCCAAAAAAAAACACAGTCCTGGCCCGGACATCCTCTGCTTCGGGGTGTGGAGACCCAGCGGTGGCCCTTCTTCTCGGCACCGTTCGCCGGCTCCACCCAACCGATGCCCGAGTAGTTGTGGTACGCATCCAGCGGCTTCCTGTGTTGGAGTTTAAGGCTCTATGAATGGATAGGTACCTCCAAAACAAAAAACATAAGAGAAACTTCAAAAGTATCCCAACTTGCAACCTGGCTTCAGCGAAAATCGGTTCGCATGCTCACCCCAGACAGCCGGATCTCGCAAAGCTTTCATCTGTATCATCAGCTTGCGCCGCTGCTCCTTTGCATCCATCCAGGGGAACTCGATCACAGGTGAGAAAAGCCGCGCTGCCTCAAACACGAAGCGCTCTACCTCCTCGTTGCTGAGGCTTGAGACATCGTGAGCCTTACCGGCAGGAGTCTGATCAGAGTACATCAGCGCGAAGACCGACGTCAGCGCATGAGGGACGCTTAGGCCTCCTGCGAAAGTTAGGGAGTCGACGAGAGCGCTCGCCATGGTGGGACGGAAGGAGGCTGAAACGTTATCGAAGACACCCCGCCGGTCGCTTGCAATCAGATCTGTGTACTCTTGGATCAGTTGCTTTCTGGCGGAGATGAAGTCCTGCACGTTGGACATCATCCTAAGCACAGGGTTCAATACTTCGGGCAGGACGATCATCATTGTGGCACTGCCCTGGAAGTCAAGAAAACGTTCAAGCTGTTCTGCTGTTAGGTCGTAGCCCAAGGTGATCTTGTGCAGCTCGAGCTCAACCCACTTCGAAAAATCCTTTTTAACTGTAAAGGTGTCGTTGACCTGCGCAATGAAGTCGCGTGCGCTTTTTCGAACAGACTCCTTGCTCCAAGTGGTCGCCCCAACGCCCCAGAGTGCATCGTAGACGGGCCGCAAGCGGCTGTGTACGCTCTCATTGGAGCCCAGGGCGATGTTTGGCCAAGTGTAATCGTTTATTCGGACATTGCCCAGCTCGTTGCTGCGATAGGCCTCACCAGTCTCCAAGCGATGCGGCAGCTGCTCCATCAGCCGCACCTGCTCTTCGTACCATGTCACGGTGCTGTCCGTGTCACTTCCGGGGAAGCCATGGGCAGTCCGGCAATCGTCATCGGATGCCATGCATGCTGCTCCGCCGTATCCATACTGCCTCATCTTCAACACGGCCAAATAATACGTAAAGCCCGCAGGGCCCATCGCGATGAACAGGATCAATATGATGAGCAGCAACACAGCAATAGAAACACCACAACACCGGCAGCACCCCTTCACGAATGACTCCCAGCATGTCTGCTGCCTCCAGGCGCCTTCAGCCCCGGTCTTCAGGCCATCAAGAAGCCCCTGAGTGTCTTCCGTCTTCGCATCTCGCTGCATCCGCATCGACTGCTAGGCCCTACAGGCTCTGTACCAGAGCCTAGAGGCAGGCCGAGCTGCAGCCGAAATGGCAGCAAAAAGGCATGGAATCCTCTGAGTGGTTGTAGACGAAGGCGTTTCGGGGCACCCTGACTTGCAACCTCTGGAAATCCCTAAACCATCCTGCTGCCGATAGAGGGATGTGCCCCGGCCACGGAAATCATGCAAGGAAATGCATGTGCATGTGTTCCAGATACGACAACGAAGACAGACTAGGCAGTAACCAGCGTAGAGGCTGTCATAAGCCTTAATACTTAAAACTCGGGGTGCGTTGTACGATATCATTATCCCCTCAACCCTAAGGAATACGATGGGTATTCCCATAATTATGACTCAGGCTTCTACATTTCTGGGTCTTTGTGAAACCAGGGCCCGGCTTCAACTTCGATCCGCCGCCGCGCCTCACCCAGGAAAAAGAGGCTGCGATTGATGTGGCGGCCGTCCTGGGTTGCAGACCCAAGCATCCGGTCATTGTTCGATTCATTGATTCCTACTGGTATTAAGAAGGTCTAGTAGTTGTCGTCGCAGCAGTAGTAGTAGTAGTAGTAGTAGTAGTAGTAGTAGTAGTAGAAGTAGTAGTAGAAGTAGAAGTAGAAGTAGAAGTAGAAGTAGAAGTAGAAGTAGAAGTAGTAGCAGCAGCAACAACAACAACAGTAGTAGCAATCTTTCCTAATTGATTCTGACTTCTGCTAGCTCTTGCTTGTCTCTCCAATCTATGGCTGCTTTCTCCCTTTTGCTCCGAGTCCTAGACGACTGCGCAGCCCGAGTATGACGAGTTTGAGTGCTGAGGCACAGCTGATACGGTCTCCGAAGAGAGAACATAACGAGGCTCAAACACATCCTGCGAACAGAGAGAGAGAGAGAGAGAGAGAGAGAGAGACACACACACACATACACTCACTTACTTGCTCACTCACTCACTCTCTCACGCATGCACATACAGATAGACTCACACTCCCACTCGTACACACATGCTTGCATACTTACTATGCCATACACGGCGCACCAGAAACTCAGCACGACCTGTCCTCGGATGCTTCATGCTTGTGATTCTCACATCCTGCGTGCAGGTCCGCTGACTGATCAAACGGCACGAACATGACCGACAAAGTAACATTCACGAAACCAATCACGAACATCGATGGTTAGGAACTATAGTGTCAGGTGTCATTGCAAGAATACTATGACAAGGACCCAGTATCATCAGGTATCCGAGAGCTCGAGATGCAAAGCGTGCTTGCTCACAGATTGTTATCGAATACAGGCTGCTCCTACATAGGATAAACACTATCAAGCCAGAGTTTCAACGTCTTCTCCCAAACACAAGTTATTGGGCTTTATGCGTTTGCGGCTTTGGATTTGTTCGGAGTGCTTGAGGGGCATTAACGCGCCACCCTCGGACCCACTTGCAGTCTTCTCGAAGGATCGTTTTGACAAGCCCGTACTGAATCCTTATCCCTCCAGTACGGAAGCTTCCAGATATCCGTTTGGAACAAGCCGCGCGGGCATCGCCTACATTTCAAGTAGAGTGATTTGGACGGCCAGTATGGGCTCTATCAGCAGAAGCTCAATTCCTGCCGGAGTTCTCAACAGTCGGACGGCCCTAATCTTCGCAAGCATGAAGGGGGAGTCTTATGTAAATGTAGAGAGATGACCTCCCCATTTCGCGGAAACCCCGACCACACCGACGCGCCTGCCAGGTCCACGATGTTCAGTTTGGTGCAAGCCCTCACGCCAGCGACCTCTTGGCAAACAGCAGCAGAAACCCAGAGATGGAGCCTGCTAAACCCTAGATCTCTTCGATTAAAGCTTCCAGTCCATCTGGAAGCGAGATAAGTGCTTCGCTATCCGGATCTGGACTGGCCACACATCGACACCGTGTTTAAGCTTTCAGACCACACTGTTCGCAAGAACCATAGTCCATCAGGCATGTTTGCCCTTCCCTCTCGTTGTGTCAACGGGCAGCCCGACTCCCCAAACCCTTGAAAAGGCTGCAAATCAAGTGCTCTCCGACTGCAAATCAAGTGCTCTCCGAAGGCATCCCTGAGCAAGCTTGCATCTCAATTCCTAGCAAAACACCACGAAGCAGTGTCCAAAGCCATACCACAAGCATGTCCCCATGGCTCACGGGGGAAAGGGCGCTTACTGCTTGTGATGCGATGGCCTCAGGCGACGCTTCTTCAAATGAAAGCGTAAAAAGCACGTGAGAACCTGAGCGCGGGGAGCGACCACCGATCGAATACATCAAGGAAATACGGAGCATGGGGCTAAAAAGCAATTGCATTGACAAGGATCCTTAAATTCTAAACTCTAAACCCTCCAGTCAACAACCCTCGAATTTGCCCAGCGCACGTCACCACTCACATAAAACCCCGCCAGGGTAATAGCACCCGGCGCCCCAGAAAGGCATCGCGCCAAGCAGCGGCTGCTGTAGTCATTCCACCGCGTCCGAGCATACCGCCTCGTTGCCAGATAGTTGAAACACTGCCGCAGACAGGCTTTAAGGTTGTTTAGGGCTGGGATCAAACTAACCTTATCTTATCCTTGTCGTAATGTAATGACAATAAGACAAGAACTGCCAATCCCGCATGTGCTAGGCTAGGGAACTTTGACTTGCACGTCCATGTAAAAGCTCTTGCCAACACAAACCGACCTCAAGCAGCTTGACAGACTTTATAAGACTTGTTAAGTACAGCTGCTGAAGCTTTAACAAAAGGAGACATCTAGTTTGGTGGTTCCTTAGTATAACTATAGTATAATTGGCCCCGAAACCCTATTCTAATCATTAAGGCCCCCTGTTTTCATGTCTTTGCCTCCTCTCCTCGCCACGTGCTACAAGTCGAAGCACGTCCTGGCATCCAGCACGAGACAGGGGTTTAGGGTTTAGGGCTTATAGGGTTTAGGGTTTAGGCTTATAGGATTTAGGGTTTAGGGCTTATAGGGCTCATAGGGTTTAGGGTGTATAGGGTTTAGGGTAAAACATGGTAAAACCCAAACCGCCAACCTGGTCTCTTGCAGCCTGACTCCCTAGGCCCTCCTTGATCCGGTCAGGGAAGTTCCGGAGCAGGGTGGATTATTCTCGGCCCTGACTACAACCGTGAATCCAGCACCCTCAATATCAACGACCCTCCAGCACGAAACTCGGACCTTAAGAATTGCAATGTGGTTGTGGGGTATATTATGGTACATGAAAGTATAAGTATACCGGGGCCATGTGGAGATACTAGTACTTGCAATTCAGACCTGCGTACTGTGAATCCTGCAGCACGACACACGCTAATCCCTAATCCTAAACACCAAACTCTAAACCCCAAACGCTGAACCCGAAACCCTGAACCCCAAACCGCAACCCTACAGTAGAAGCCCAAAAGTTGGAAACCCCCGAGCCTCAATCCTTAAGGGTAAAGAACAGGGAATACCGGCACTATTTGGCCTTAATCCGGTTTCCAACTTTATGTGGTTTACTGTAAACCTTCATCAAACTGCAAAAGACTTGCCTCGCTGCTCCGCACAGGAGCTTCGCGAAGGCCGTGAACGAAGAAGCCGCGGCCCTCGGCTTTGGGGTTAAGGAACAGTTGCCGTTCTAAGTGGTCTGTAAGGGATTCTATGAAGGTTCTAATAGTAGTGTATTATGTATTTATACATATTAAACCTTTATTGTACTAAGCTATACTGTACTATACTATGTTATATCATATCATGTCATATTACATTATATTCTATTCTATTCTACGCGGTGCATAGGGCTTCGTGTCTTTGGATTTAGCATCCACCTTACAACTCGTAAGAGAGAAGCCCTGGGTGTTCCAAAAGTCTCGGCCCCATTACCTACGGTAAGAACTCGGATCCAGGGACTCTGAGGCGTCTGCTTTCGGGGCAGTGTGTAGTTGGAGGGATGTGGGTAGTTCTACGAATTAGGGTCCCATTTTGTAAGGGTGACCTGAAAGGGGGACACTAATTTAGAGAGCTACCCATATAATGACAGAGTTTGCCATCCGACCCTGTAGAGGTGCTGATAGCCCTACTGTTCAGATTCGCGGTGCTTCTCTTCGAAAGCTCACACAGCCATGCTTAGGTCACACGACTTGCAGCTGATGCGACCCCCGTTGGAGTCATGTCGAGACCTTAATGGTTAGAATAGGGCTTGGGGATGAAAGAGGACATGAGTCTGAGCCTGGGACGAATTCTGGGACGAATTGTCAGATGACTTGTGCATCCCAGGAACGTTCAGCCAAGCTTTGAACTAAGCATTCAACTAGGTTTGGAAATAACTCCTTAAATGTACTGTAGGTGCATAACACACTTAGAAGAGCATGAGCCTAGCAACTCTGCAGGAAAATCACACGGACTGGGACATCGTTCAGCAGAAAAGTTCAAGAGTTTCTTACATCATGCAAAGGCTTCAGCAGGAGCCCAAACGGGCTCAATCACGTGTGTACGGAAGCCGCTTACGGGGTAAGTATACTATGATTGTACTAAACTGCATTGAGGAGCCTATAAAGGAACGTTGTTAGAATTAGTATTATGGACCTTAGAGTGCTGGTGCGGATGGCCTTGTGCCCTGCGGAACTAGCAGTTCTGAGGCTGCAGCTGCATCCTCCTTGACCGGAAGGGACGGTGTGGCCTGTGGCCAAAACTCTCGTTTAACGGATCGAGGTGCTCAAACAACTTACGATTTGTAACTTAGGGTATGAGGTATAGACATCACAGAGCTGGGGATGCATGATATATGCGTGTACATGATCATGTATATACCTACATTCATGCACGCATACATACGAGTATACATATATATATACATATATATTTATATTATATACACACACATAGTCACATAGATATACGAAGCAACTACTTATATACTCGTGCGTATTTATATTCGCATTTATGTGTACATAGAGCTTCCTTCGATTGCACCAGTCATGCAGAGTTGTTTGCTGTTTAAAATGTTGCGCGATTATCACCGTCGCTTTTCTGATTCTTTCTCTTGGCTGACAATTCTGCCACACAGTCGAGGCCCAGACACTGGCAGCCGTCTGCGGGCACAGGAGGTCGATGACCTTCGAGCCATGGACAATCGGAGGAAATCTACCCTGTACTTCTGATGCTTCGCTTGCCGCTGGCCAATACCTATAGCTGGAATTCGGTGTTGTAGATCAGTTGAAGCTACATGAATGAAGACTGAATGCTACGCTGCTACTAACAGCATGTTGCCAGGCTCGTGTCGTGGATTGGCGCATAGCAACGGCAGCCGAATATGACGTCACGAAGCCTTCTCATTGAAGATCTCGAAGTAGGAGAGTTTGGCCGGACATACACGTCGCTGGATGCCTGGGCACAACTGTGGTTCGAGGGTGCATCCAGAACCCTGATGTCTGCGGCATTGGCAGGGTTCGGATGGTCTACCACTCCCGGAATATTGTCGTTCATGGTGCTGATTCCTGCGCAATCTTCCGGCTGGCTTGTGATAGTGCTGACGACAGCTCTTGCCTGAACCTCTGAGACGCTTTGATGCCTGAAGCATACCTTTTTCAGATCTGCGAAGTCCTGACACGAAGCATGACTGCCATGTGTCATGTGTGCATGTACATATGTAGGTATGTCTGTATGCATGCATGCAGGCAAATATGTCTGCATGCCTGCCTGTCTGCCTGCCTGCGGCGGCAGGCTGGCTGCCCGACTGTCTGTCTGTCGGTCTGTCTCTGTCGGTCTGTCTGTTTGTCTGTGTCTGTATGTAGGTACCTATGTACAGAGGCATATCTGCATCTGTATCTACGAAGACGCTTATCCAACAACTGATACATGCGTGCATAAACTTACTTGGAGGATCAGGGGACTTAGCAAGTAAGGTTATAAGTGCCCTCCTTCGGGTTATAAGTAATAAGTATAGCTACCTTGTTTATAACCTTAGTTACTAAGTCGCGTGATCCTTTAAGTAGACCCTAAGCCCTAAACCCTATAGACCCCTTAAAGGAACCCTATAGATCCCTTTAAGGAGCCCTTTATAACCCGAATCCCAGCCCCATTGGTCTGACTCGGCTCTTGGCCCTCGTTCTCGAAAATCTCCTGAGTTCTTGGGGCCGTCTATACTGAAAGGATCATGGGACTTAGCAACTTAAAAGGCTCCTTCAAGGGTTCTATAAGTACTTAAAGGATAATGGGACTTAGTAGCTATAAGGCTATAAACAGAGTAACTATACTTAGAATTACTTATAACCCCAGATAGGGGACTTTTAACCTTACTTACTAAGTCCCCTGATCCTCCAAGTAAGGGTTTCACAGATCAAGAGATGCGCAAAGCTCTTCTGCAGATTTAGCGAAGGGCTGGTCTGCGGCACACCCAACTAGCCCTACTCAGGGTTTCTGCGTGATGCTTGTAGGTGTTAGGGTTTAGAGAGTAGGGTTGCGGGCTTCGGGCTTGTATGGGGGATGGCAGGGCCGTGTGATGAAGCCATTACGCTGCAAGGTGGAACTCTGAGTGCTAGCACAGTCCTTACAAGTTCGCCTTCCTCCTGCGATGCCTGCCGTCCAGCGACACATGTTTGCATAGTTGGGCGAATGGAAGCCGACATGCCCTCCCACTGAACGGGACTGTCCTCGACTGAGAGTGGTAAGAGGCCGGGCTCGAACGGGGTACCCAAGACCTGCAAGCGCTCCAGGCTCAGCGGATTTCAACTCCCTGATTTTATGAATGAATCCCTTGAGGGGTCAAGGGTCTCTATGTCATGTGTCCTGCACGCAATCCAACATTCACATCTCAATCTCTGGTGACAACCCCAACAGACAACTCTAAAGAACAACGCTTGGGGGCATTTGAACCCTGTTCGTGAAGTGTAGATGCCGCGACGATGCCATGCGCCTGTGGATCCTGCGAGGCTTCCTAAGGTCTTTCTGGACACATTCCTGAGGTCTCTCCGATTCTGGAGACATACCATCCTGGAATCCTGGATTCTTGCGAAACTTCTGCCCTGAACTGGCTGAACTCGAGACTCGGCGAACCGACACAGCCTGCAGCCGTCCAGCCCCGAGCCCAAAGTCTCTGCAGCACGTCTCCTGACTTTCCAAGCCGGTAAACCCTGACCCTGACACACCAACCCCCCACTGGGCCTTTATGCAATCGTCGTCACAAATAAACATATCTATATATATATATATATATATATACATATGTACATATAGGTCTACTAATTTCATTCACATTCATCTGTGTATGTGTGTGTATATATATATACATATACATCTAACAATGAAGCCCGAAACCCCAAACTTTCTGCAGCGCGGCCGAGTGTGTCTTGCCAGAGCTGGTCTGCCCATACGCCAGGATGGAGACATTGGACCCTGACATTGCAGCCTGGACCTGTCAGTTGAACGCCGGAGTCGGGAGCTGTGCAACCCTAAAGGTTACCCTCCTTAACCCCGACACACAGCGTAGGGATCGGTGCTAATAATGTAGGGGCCTTAGAATAGGGTTTGGGGGTATATTATGCTATAACTACACTCAGGTACCCCCAAAATAGTATAGGCCTCTTTGGTATGCTACGGAGCCTGGGCAGTCTCTGGGAGCAATTTGAATCGCGTACGGAAAATCCGGACGGTTTAGGGTCATGGGTTGATTGGACCAGTGCATCCATGCTTTGAAGCCGGTCCTGATTTTGCATAATGCCCAAAACATGAGAGAATCATGCAGTCCATCAGGCAAAGACGCACCCCTCAAGCCCAAACCCTAAACCCAGAACCGTGCACGCAAAGCAGAAATTGCTTATAGGCTTATAGCAACTTGAGGAAACCCTCAAACATTTACTCAAAAGACCACCAACATAACCCTCAACCCTGGAACCAAAATCCCTGAAACCCAAAACCAAAAAACCCAAAAAGACCAAAACAAACAACAAAAAAACAAAAAACTGAAAAGCACTAAAGAACTCGCTGTTCCATCTCCTTGGGATCCGGACCAACTTCTTCGCCGCCTTGTCGAAAAGCTCTCGGTTCGAAGCCTTGTCGTCCAAGCCTTGCTTTGGGATGGTAGATACCACTATGTAGTGTTCAGGGTTTAAGCTAATACGAATAATATCAATGACAATAGTACTAGTAAGAGAAGAGCAATGGAAATGCTAGTATCGCAAAAGCAATGATGACAATCATAAAAACAGTAACAGTAATGAAATGATGTCAGTAACGTTTACCACACGCTTCGAAAATCCTAGCAAAAAAAAGCAATCACAGTAATGAGAATAAAAGGAAGAATAACACGAGTGATGATAATCATATGTCATTAACTATTGTTTCTTCGCCAAAGGTTCGCTTTTCCGCTACGGTTTCCTATTCCGAAAGCCCTTAATGTCGCAGTCCGCCCTCCCTGTCCTACTGCAAGCACGATGAGGTTCGGGCTGTATACGAATTCATCAAAGCAGCGACACATTCTGGGTTCAAAACCCAAAGCCCTCATCAGCCGTCATCCAACACTCTCTGAAAAATCCTGAAGAGCTATCTCTAAAATGCGCCCTGATACAGAATCTTATCCTGAGAACCACCGAATAAAGTTTCCATAAACCCAAAACCCCTACACCCCCAAACCCACACCCCTAACCCGTAACGCGTCAACCTCAGACCCCTTAAGCCACTATAAACCCCTACACCCCGCTGCGCTTCGTGTTTCAAGAAGCCGGGGGCGCGGATGTGCACAAAACTCTCAGAAATTTTCGGTTGCACAGACGATACAGGCGGGAGGTGGCCATGTCTTGACTCGACAGCCTCACGGGGTTCCTGTGGAGTGGCCTCTGAAATTTGTGAATCCCAAATTCACATGGGCCCGGTATTACGCTCTTCGTAGACTCGTTCTGAATTCATGATTCGTCCCTAAAACCCCACAACGCAGACCTTAAACCCCCAAGCCCCAATTTTGCGAAACCGCGAAAACCTATGACTTAAACCTGACACCCTCCAGCTCTAGTTTTCGGAACCCTAAAGCCCTACACGCCAAACCCTAAAACCCTGAGCCTTAAGCCTTAAACCCCAAAAATCTCTAAACCCTAAACCGCAAAGAGCTCTTCTTGCCAGATCGCAGAGGTCAAAGGCGAAGGCTGCGCCCATGGCCTTGATCGCATCTCTGAAAATTTAACCAAGGCCACAGAGTTGTTTGAGAGCCTCTCTCTACACCGCATGGGTGTAGAGCTTAGTGGTTAGGGTTTAAAGTTCCCCTAAATTTGAGGGTTTAGGGCTCAGCGGCTGGATGTCGTTTAATCGCTTTTTGGGCTCTCGTCCAACGGAACGAAGCAGGATTGAAGTCTTCTACCGGGATGAAGGCTTCTCCTTTCGTGTTTTGGGTTCAGTGCTTGGGGGGTGCAGGGTTTTGGGGGCTTCGGGTGCAAAATCGATTCGTCCACTCGCCTGGTGCTGCAACGGTATTCAACAGACACAGTTATCGTGCAGTGTGCATGCTGGGCATGCATGCTACACCCAAACAACCTGTGCACCCTCAAACCCTGCCTACAACCACAAGATCCGGATGCTGAAACTAAGGAAAAAATATAATCAACTCATCTACGAGGATCGCAGTTGCATGTTCCACACATGAGCCGAGAGACGCATCGCGCCGGCTCCGGACCACCCGGGGGCGGCTGATGGCAAACCTGGAAGCGGTAGGGATTTGGGGGTGGAGTCCTTTTTGTTGTGGCAGTGCGGTCATACCAAGCCAGCAGGTGCTAGGAGCCTACTCAAGCGTTGCAGCTTCTGAGGTCTATGCCGGGCTCTCCGGCACTGCAAAGCGACATGATTTTACACGAGATAACTGGATGAGTTAGATGCTCTCTAGACAGAGCACTAAAAACCGAACTCTAAAAACAAATGCAGTCTGCTGCAACGCCCCAAACCCTCCGAGCGTTTGACCCACTGCTGGCCATCCTCGGCAGGCTGCAGCGGCTGCAAACCCCTCTCTCAAAAGAGCGCTGTCGTGTCGGACCTAAGAGACCTAAGATCACCACCCGACTGGTGTATCAATAACAGGCGGGCATTCCCCCGTCATGGCGACTCCCGGCCTCATAATAACACACCAGTGTCGATTGACACACTATCTGCGGTCCAAGGAGGCCGCCCGGTGATCAATGCGCCACGTCGAGCCTGTCACACACAAGACATCTAAAGGAAAAGGCAACAAGCAATTAAGTCCTAAACCCTAAAACCCTAAACCCCTAGAGTGAGAGAGAGAGAGAGAGACAGAGAGAGAGAGAGAGAGAGATCGAGAAATCGAGAGACAGACAGACAGACAGAGACAGCCAGCCAGCGAGCCAGCCAGCCAGGCATAGTCACCCACGGCCTGACTCCGCAGCAGTTCCAGAGAGAGGTCGCAAGCGCACCTTGGGGGAGTTCAGTATGTCGACGCTTCACTTAGAGGCTTCGGGTTCTAAATTTGAGTCGTGCTTCTGTTGGACTCCTGTGGTTCAAGGGGGTAAGCTTTGGGTTCAAGATTTCGCGTTTCCGGCTTAGGTGAAGGGTGAGGGATTTATGGCTTAGGGTGCGAAGCTGAGCTGCTTTAAACCCTGGACCCTCAGCTCAAGAATGACAATGTCCTCCAATATATGCTTATAAAAACAAACAGCAAGTTTTGGCGCCGGGGCCCGTAGCACGCACGAGATGTTGTCGTCGACGACTGGGGAGATGCAGTAGAGGTTTGTCGCAGTCCCAGTCAGAAGTTGTTGCTGCAAGAAGAATTTAAGTACCGGCCATTGTGAGATGGACGGCGGTTGTACATTAGTTGGTACGCGATGGTGCTGGTGGCCGTAGAGGCGGACAGGGATGAGGAGGTGGCAGAGGCGGAGGCGGAGAGGATGAGGAGGAGGAGAAGCTGAGCAGCAGTAGCAAACTTACCTACGCTACAATGACGCCGCTAGACATTGCTCACTCCTCAAAGTTCTGCTGATTGCAACTGTGATCAACAAGCACAAACCAAGCCATCCTCTTAACCTTCGTAGCTGAGCCCTCACCCTTGAACCCCAAGCCGCAAACACTAACCTCCCGAACCCTCTACCTCCAGCAAAGGCCAAGACCAATGAATCCCAAACCCCCAGGCAAATCCCCTAAACCCTAAACCCTAGACCCAAAACCCCAGGCCCAAAACCCTAAACCCAAAACCCTCGACACCCATTGCTACGGCCGCCAGGCAACGACGACCTGCAGAGGCTCTCGTGTCGCTGTCCGGTCGCGCCTGTCAAGCTCATCTCGACCTACCAAAACCTGCCTGTTGGTAGGGTCCCTATGCAACGTCTCGCTTCAAGACAGCTGGCAGCAGCCACAACATGTCTGCAAGACCTCAGCTGCCCAACCCAAAGTCAAACCCCACCCTCTCTCCCCGTCACCACGGGGCGCAGCTAGCCACCTTGAGTGGCTTGGGCTTCGGTGAAGCATTGCCTCAGCTTCGAAGCTTCGATGCAGTTAGACTTTGGATGACAAGAATTCAACAGTTCGCTCTGATGCTTGTAGATACGGTAGTAGTAGCAGTAGTAGTAGTAGTAGTAGTAGTAGTAGTAGTAGTAGTAGTAGTAGTAGTAGCAGGAGTAGTAGTAGTCGTCGTCGTCGTCGTACTCGTAGTACTAGTAGTACTAGTAGTACTAGTAGTACTGTAGTACTAGTAGCAGTAGCAGAAGCAGCAGTAGGAGTAGTAGTAGTAATAATAATAATAACAATAACATCAGCAGCAGCAGCAGCTGCAGAGGTAGCGGCAGTGGAAGCTGCTTAGCCATTCCCCGGACTGTTTGTCTCAAGCCGGGCAGGTTGACAAGGCCTTTGCGAACCTACGCGGATGCAGATGGCCTTTCAAGACGCAAGACCTCTTCGAACTTCCATTGAAGCACGACCCGGGGTGGGACGGCCACCATTGGACAACTGGGCTGAGCACCGCAGGAGCATATCAGATGCGTGCTCCTGACAAATACAAATGACGTCACGTGGACTCACAATATGAATATGCCACTGGAGCAAAGAAAGTGCCAATACTACTGTTTGGGTAGCTTCAACGGCCGCTATGATGCGCAGACAATACGGGATCACGGCACTGCCACACATGCAAATGCACAGCTGGCATATTCGCACCATGAACCGCTCTTTTTTGCGGCCAGCCTGGCCAACGCATGCGCGCAGCACGGGAAGCACCTGCTCGGCCGCGGCACGCCCTCGCCTGTTCAGCTGTCGAAGAGGTCCTCCGCCTTTTGCACCTCTTCCTGGAAGTCTTCCGTGTCCACCAGAGCATCCATCACGGCCTCAAGTCACTCCGGAACGAGCCCCTGAACTATGTAAGACTTTGAGGAAGAGAAATGCCTCCAGTCCTGGATACCGAGGCATCATGAGGAAGGGTCTTTGCAGCGCTTGCTGATCACTTCTTCTACAGAAATATCGTTTTTTCTGCTTCTACAGCCATTCCCCTCCACCCCTAGAGCCGTAAATCCTTACTATAGACTATAGACCCATCACGACAAGGCATGACCCTTTCGCAGCTTGCCCTCAAGCTGGAAGCCCTAAGACCATGAAAACCATCAGCACACCGTCACCCCCCCAACCCGGCACCCCATACCGTACTTCACACAATGGACTCTGAACCCTGAAAGCCTCGGCCAGTAACCACAAAACTAATAGCCTTCAAGTTGACAAGGCGGCGAGAATACGGGTTCACAGTCGACATCATCATCCTCACCCGCATCCTCCTCATCATCATCACCAAAGAAACAAGCATATAACATAAAAAGGCACAAAGCAAAAACAACCTATTAAGCAAAAAGAGAATCAAACAACACAAAAACTGAGAAACAGACAACGGTCTTAGAAGCACTAAACTCCTCGGAGGCTCCTCGTGGCCGGCCATGATCCCGGCCATGATTTCACCCGCCGCTGCCTTTACGATCTCCTGCGGTTTCAGGGGCTTTGAGAGCATACTGGCAGACAGGGAGACAGACGGACGCACATTCAGAACAGGCAGGCAGGAAGAAACCACCTACATGCATGCATACCTAACATACATACCTACCTACATACCTACATACTTGCATGCCTGCACAACTACATACATGAAATCAGGCGCACACACACACACACACACACACACACACACACACACGCACGCACACATAGCTACTTACATACTTACTTACACACATACAGGCATAGTGTATACTAACTTATATATATATATATAGGTAGAAGTACCTATGCACAAAAGCATGAATGCTTGCATGCATAAACACATACACACATTCACACGTGCATGTATACACGCATCCACACGTGCATGTCCACTTATACATACACACATGCACATTTGCATGCATACATGCACACAAGCATACACATACGAATGCAATCATACATACACATGCATGCATGCAGATCATTGAAGGATGCGTACATAGCTAATATGCACATATACATACATATATATATATATATACACACATTATGCATACAACATCATACACACACAAGCAAACAAGCATATGCATATATATATATATATACACACACAGTATGTCTCTACACGCACAACATAATATCTCTGCAGGCTCTCGCACCATGGCTGAGCCTTCTCGTCGCTCGGCTCAACAGCGAGACCCGTGATGTTGGTGTTGGGAGAAGTCCAGTTGGGATCGATGAGGATGCATCGGAACTCGTAGCTTTGACGAGCTCGGTCCGCATCCACACCATCTTTCCTTTCAAGGAACTCGCAGTCGCAGCAACCCACGACGTCTTGGCATGGGGTTATTTAGGAACTGCAGAGACGACGATCTGCAGGAGTTCGTTCTAAGGTCTTCGATGCAGGGGGCGAAGCTAACATTACCCAAGCGCAAGCAGATGTGATGTGACTGCTTGGCAAAACCTGCCTGAGCGCAGCCAAGCGTCCGAATGAAGCGGAAGGCGGAGTGAGGGGTCCCCTCATAGCCTGCACTTTTTTCTCTTCGTCTTCGCAAAGCAGCTACTGTGAAGGTACGATTCATTACGCCCATTTTTGCAAGGCCATCGCAGCTTGACTTGCAAAACTTTACAGGGGTCTCTCAAGTGCACAACCCTTCGATTCGGGATGCCATGTTTTGGAACCCGACCACGGCTTTAGGCCTGTTACACGAATTTGCCCACTTAAACACTAAAACTAGCTAAACCGCAAAAGAAACAACTTTCAAAAACCAAGACGCTGAGATATAATAGCAATGGCCACAGTACCAGCAATACCCATAATGAGTAAAGCAATAATGAGAATAACATGAATAAAAAGAATAAGAATGATCACAACAATAATGATAACGCCAGGGGGCGTGTCCCCTCGGGTCCCTCGTGGGGGCTGGTGATGAACCTGCAGTGAAGACCAGCGGGAACAGCTCGGAAAAAAGCTTATGTGCAACCAGTCAAACGATTGAATGTGCCAGGCTGGTTCCTGATGGGTGTTATGAAGGCTAGAACTTACAGTTTGGAGTCAAAGGACAAGGGTTAATTAGACTTACAGTAGTTTGGAAGTTCAGAGATTCTGGTCGGAGCATCTTTGGAGTGCACAAAACCGAGTTCAAATTACTAAGGCCCCTACATTAAACTTAAAGAGGAGGGACCTCGCTGTTCACAAACTTCGTGCAACGTGGCTCCGCGGAGCTTGCAGTCTTTAGGCGGCGACTCATGACAAAGGCTCAAGCTTCTCTTGCCTAGGGCTCACCAAAATTTAGGGTTGCAGGTTGAGGGAGTAGCGCATAGGCCGAGCTTTCGAGTAGGCTTTCCGTTTGAAGCTCGCAGTCGTTTGCCGCTCGGCCGCACGGACGAGGCCATTTGCGACACAGAACCCCAAACCCACAAAACCTCGAGCACAGGCTCCAAAACTCCGAACCCCGGCAGCGGGCCTGTAGCCCTCACCCCGAGCCAGCTCCTTAGACTGGCTGGAAGGAAACACCCGGGTTCAGGTTTGCCCTGAGCCCCAAACTCGAAACTCCGTTACCGATTTGTTTCCGAGGGATTGGAAGCAGCTGGAGATCTGTCGCTCAGGGCCGATGCCATTGAAAAACAAGCATGAGAATAGCCAAGCGTCCTTGTAGTACCACCTGAGGGCCGGTGACATGAAGGCCGCAAGTAACTCTAGGAACCTTTCCCTTGCCCTTGCCGGTTCTTAGCCAAGGAAGCTGCCCTACGAGTTGCCTTTGCCTGTCAAAGCTCAACGCCCTTGATATCAACAGCTTCAGCTCGCGAAGTCCGGTTTGCGCTCTGGTTCTGCCTTGTGCTTGGTAGTTCTGGCAGCTCGGTACATGACAAGGTCGGCGTCTGAACCATTGCCAATGTTACAATGAGCATTGGCGCATAAGAACCTACCTGCTGCTTCCATGTGTAGATGTTGGGAAGCATCGGACTTCATCTTGAGGGCGGCTGCTGGCTTGAGGATGGTTTGGAGGCAATCGCCCGTCTGTTTGTCCTACTTGATCCACCTCAACCACTTCTCGATGATGAGAAGTAAAGGAAGAAGACATCTACATCACATCATGGCCAACAGTCGTAAATGTAAATGCACAGCCCGAGTCTGCTTCATCACCTCCAACTCTATTTCGGAGTGGCTCCCCCAAAGAAAAGAACACCCGTGGCCTCTGCTTTGGTGAAAATCTCAGGCTCATCGAGTCCAGAGACGCCTGAACCCAGGCGGTCTCCACATCCTGCCGACTGGAAGTTGGAGCTCTTCAGGTTTTTTTTGTCTCAGCCCCTTTTTCACCCAGCAATCCAGTCTGCTCTTCAGGGTTTAAGGCTTAAGGTTTTTGAGGTTGAGATTGCGGCTTTTGGATTCAAGCTTCAGGGCCATCCAGGGCCGGCGAATCACACAAGCTTTCAGCTTTCGAAGAGCTCTTCGAAGTCATATAGGAGCCTTGATAAAGGGTTTTGGGCCCCATTATACTATAATTATAATGAGGAACCCCCCAAAATAGTGTGGGTAATTATTTAGGCCCCTATATTAGAGGTGTGCTTCTGCATGGTGTATCAGGAATGAAGATGCGCAAGACATCGGCTAAAAGTCTGCGTATGTGCGCAGTCCAAGACAGGTCTGCGAGTAGCGCTAAAAGTGTGCAATGCCGCCTGCTTGTGAGGAAGACGTCTATGTCGTGATCATCACAAACGATGTTGAAGAACTTCAAAGTCAGAACTTCCACTTCTACAATCACAAGTCAGGCTTCAAAGTATTGACACGTGCTCGCTGCATCCAAGCCGCATGAGTGCTGCACTTTCAGTAACGAGTCATTATGAACAAACCCGCGAAATTGACGAGCGACCCACCAAGCAGATAATATAGGGGCCGTAATAATTAGAACAGCGTTTCGTTCGGTGCCCGTGAAACTATAACTATATTAAGGAACCCCCAAAATAGTATAGGAAACTATTAAGGCCCCGATAAAAGGGGCAAAGGCCGCCGGTCCTCCGCATCGAGGGTGGACGTGTCCAAGATCGTCAGCGGAAGCTCATGGATGGGGTCCTGGGTTGTGCTTTAAACCCTTTGAACTTTTTTTTATGAATAGGCTCCCTTTATAAGGAAATAAGGGAAATTACAAAATAACTATTTATGAATAGGTTCCCTGTATAAGGAAATAAGAGAAATTAGAAATTGTCCCAAAGCACAACCCAGGGTCGGAGCCCGCGTTCACCCATTCATTGAAGGTCACGACAGTGTGACTCCTCGGAAGAGAGAGAGAGAGAGAACAAGGTTCTTTTCGTGGCAGCTTCTAGATTGAGTGCTGAAGCCTGTGAAACGGCCCAGGCAAATGGCTGGAGACAAGCGTCAATGCCTCGGAAATGTTCATGCCCAGCTTTTCCTCAAATCCTTTGATGGAGGCAGCAGGAAATGCACCACCTTCCTTGAACCACTCGCTCACCTTGGAGTCACAGGCACATCCACTTCAGCACTGCTCAGTGAGCTCTTGAACACAAGCTCGAGCCGCCGATAATGTTGAAAGCTGTTGTGCGCTTCTGGGTCCCTGGAATGTCTTCTCTGAGCTTGTGGCACTTGTTGCATCCACATGGGCGATCGGCAGGCCCTTCATGCCCAAGCGGGTGTGGCGGAAGTTCATGGAGAAACACGCCCCCTGGCACTCAGCTGGTTGATGCACCACTTATCTTAACTCCTGGAAGCAGTCCTCCTTCGATCGTTTAACTCTCCTATATTGCTTCGGTTGTTCAACTGTGATGTCGGCTTTGCCGCTTTGCCGCTACTGCCATGGGAACGTGCGACTGCTGAACAGCTTTTGTGACGTGCACCATCATGCACCCCCACCTTGGTCTCCGTTCCAGTCTTGCTTTTCCACCATTCCTCGCTTGCCTTCTCCATGCTTGCTACCAACTTCTCCGACAGATCAATGGCCGTCCTCATCACCTGCGAAGTGTGGCGTGGCAGATTGATTCAGATCAAGAGAAAGGTAACAGTCGCAGACTTCGTAGCTTGCGCTGATCCTGGCCCTCTCTGCAGAAGACCCTGTCTCCGAGGTGATATCGAGGCTGCTCTCACTACCTCTGCTTTTGACTGCTCTTTTGAAGAGCACATGGCCTCCACAAGCTCATCGACGTCGCCCAACACACGAACTGTTCTGCTGCCGACTACCTGGGACAACAAAACCGGACCCGTCCAACAACAAAGCACCAACACTAGCACAGATGGATCGCAGATTATACAGTAGTTGTCTTTGCCATCTGAAACCTACTGTTTACTGCTTCAGCACCCAGATAGGCCTAAGGCAGACACGCTCCATGCGACAGTCAGAGTCAAAAAATGCTCCAAGCTCTGAAAGAAGCATTGCATGTCGACACATGCACTTCTCACACCACGCTGCGATGTCCTCCCCGCTCACCTGCTTCCACACGTCTTCCTGTAGAGTTGATGCGATTTGCACTCTTGGCCATGGTGGGACATGGGAAAGCCAGCGGCAGGATCCGAGGCTTCTGCCCGCTGTTCGGGTGCCATCAGTGCCAATGCTGCGCCTGCGGAAGGTCGAGATCTGCTGCACTATGTGACATACTCCCGAGGCAACAGCGGCTGGTGCAAGAAACGACATCGAAGAACTTCGACCATTTTAAAAAAGAAATTGTCTGCGAACAGCTTGGCAGTGACAGACTCGAGTAATTAAAGGGCACCCGGCCCGATTTGTAGCTTGTGGCCTTGAATGGCTGGGCTGCAGCACCAGCTGTTCTGCGACGTAACTGAAAGTATGACTTACAGGCTGCAGACCTCTTAGTGCACAAAGTCCCGACACTGTAGCCACCTCACGTGTGAAGCAACCCAACCCGAAACCACCACCTGTGAGCATTGCTGCTGCGCGTGTAGTGTTGACCTCTCTCGGGCTCAGCTTCCTCAGCTTCGGCATCGCCGGAAATCCGCGCCACAGAAGGATTACTCATGGCCGCATGGCGATGAACACGATTTCGCGGCTTGCAAACAGTTCAGGGTCCCGTTTGAGGGGGTTCTGCTGCGCTTTCTAATTTCTCAGGGTTTGTACCTGGGGCTTCCTGGGTCCCTTGTTTTCTGCAACTTCCATCTGAATTGGTAGACGTCGCACTCACCAGCTTCCTTGTCAGAGCCTCGATGGGTAAGTAGCCTTACACTCAGAATATGCAGATTGCACTGCCTTGCCACCACAGTGCTTTTCGTACTTGAGCTTCAGAGGCGTAGGGAGCTCGGTGCTGAAGTTGACTGGCTTGCCGTCGCAATTCACCTCAACAGAGCTCTGCGCCTTGTTCTCTCTTCGCCTTGCATGTATGACCGCTGCTCTGCATGCTGAGCAACCGCAGACGTCCCTTTCTGGCCTGGGTCGTACATTCGCTGTTTGACGCTGCATAAAAAAGCGGAAGGCCATACAACGGAATGCCTCTGGTTTCTCAAACTCCAATCAGCTCCCATGACACTCGTCATCGTAACAAAAAACGCAATAACATATCAATGACAACAGTGCTGACTTGTCTGGTGCAGTCACCTCCGTGTGACCCCATGCATGAGTCATATGAGTCTGAAGAGAAGCTCTTGCACGGATTGATTGGCCTGTTGCCAAACACAACTTAATCTGTGAGGAAGAGTATCTTGGGAAGGCACAGTACATGGTAGAGTGGAACACAGACAGGAAGAGAGAGAGAGAGAGGGAGAGAGAAACAGAGACAGAGATAGCTGGCGAAGGGGTTGTGAAGTAGGGTTTAAGGTCTTCGGGCTCAGGTTTTCAAGTCTTCGGACCTAAGGTTGGGGGTCTTGCGGCCTATCAACATATTTTCGCACAAATTCTGAAGACACCTGCCTCTTACAAACAGCCTAACACGCTGGCGTTCAACTCCGGCAATGCCAAAACTGCGATCGGTTGTGGCCCAGGCACAGGTTACAAGGCTGAGCAACTTCGTGGCATTCAGCCGGGGAGAGTTAAAGAGCGACAAAGGGAATGCCCCATCGTAGAAAAGGTCGTTGGTGCAGAGCCCTCCAGTGAAAGTGTCCTGGGGGGGGGGGGGGGGGGGCAGGCGGAAGCCAAGGTTTCGCACTTGAGATGCTGATCTTACGAAACCGCCAGCGAAATTTGCGGCCCAGTGTCGCCGTCTAGGTAATGGGACAGATTCATGAGATCCTCGGTGGTATTGATGTAGCACTCTTCTTTCACGAAGGTGACCTGACATCATAACGTCTCGAACAGGCTCAATGCCAAACCAAACAGGGTCACGTCCTGGTGATGCACGTGCTCACATCTTGTGGCGGTCGGTCAAAAGCTGTATTGCCAGGAGTATCACCAGGCCAGTATAACTAGAGTGCGTACTAGTAACTAGTATAATCAGGTCCCTCGTGGGATTCTAATTATAATACGGCGCCTAATATTTCGGGTACCCAGAAAGGAACCATAATTTTGACAACCACCCATGTGGAACAGCAACGCCCAGCATCCTGAAGCCCGAAACACCGCAGGCCCTGAACCAAGAAACCCCAAATGCCAAACCCGAAGATGGGGGCCTTAGTAAGTACAAGTAGGGTTCCTTTAAAGGGTTCCATAAGGGCTGCTATTAGGCTATTATAAGGGTAGGGATATAGGGGCCTTAATAACTGGAATAGGGTTTCGCGGCATATTATACTATAACTATAATAAGGAGCCGTGGACACCCTCCGAAACCAGGATGGCTTCTCAAGAGATGCAAGCTGCAATTTCTGTTCTGAACTCTTGCTTCACGTCTTTGCGCCCCATATCGTACCTGCGGTTCAGCGAGGTCGGATTCTTTTGGTTTGGGCCTTAGAATTCAGGGTTTAGGTTTGATGGATTTAAACTTTAGAGGCTGGGGTTTAGGGCTTAGGGCCTGGGGACTTTGCCGTAATTCTGGTTTGGGGCCCTTGGCCACAATAATCGCCAACGAATCTAAAACTCTGGACTCCTGAACCTGTCGAGATTTTCAACTCCCAAAGCCTAATGCTAACCTCCAAACTAAACCCTACGCATGAACCTCTAAGCCCAAATCTTACGTGAACATTTAGAAGCTCATCGTCCACTCCTAGAGCCGAAAAAGCGCTCCTTCACACTGCTAGCTCTGCTGGGTGGATTTTAGATTAGGGATTTCGGAATCTGGGTTTGGGATTGGGCCTGATGCTTCAGGTTTACGAATCGGGGCTTCGAGCCCCGAGCCTTTAACCTAACGAGGCCGGGAAGCATGAGGTCATCCAGCGGTTTCTTCAGTGCCCCGGTGCTGTCAATCTCGAAGCCTGACACTTTGCAGATTATGGGCCCTTCTGGGCTTGGGGTTGAGGTTTGCGGCTTGGGTTGTGTACGGGCGCTTGAGGTTTGTGATGTTAAGAAAACGGTTGGAATGGCCATTACAGGCTATCGCTAGCGACTAAGGCAAGTTCACCGTAGCAGTAGTAGTAGTAGTAGTAGCAGCAGTAGCAGTAGTAGCAGCAGCAGTAGGAGTAGTAGTAGTAGTAGCAGTATCATTGCCCTTTTGCACCGAACCAGAACCACAAGGTTTAGATCCACAGGGCTTTTTCGACAGAGTTGGCTTTTAAAGACGTTTACAGACTTTTAAAAACTTTCAAATGCAAGAAAAAACATTCTAAAAACTTTTAGAAGACTTTAAAAGACTTTTAGAAACTTTTAGAAGACTTTTGCAAACTTTAAAAGACTTTTCAAAACTTTAAAAGCTTTTAAAATATTTAAAAGACTTTTAAAAACATTAAAATACATTTAAAAGCTTTAAAAAGACTTTAAAAGACTTTTAAACGCTTTTAAAAGCTTTTACAAACTTTAAAAAGAATTTGAAAGACTTTTAAAGACTTTAAACAACTTTTAAAAATTTTTAAAAACTTTAAAACAAAAAAAACTAATGTTTTTTCCGAGAAGACGAGGATGAAGAAGACCTGGCACAGGGTTTACAGTTTCAGGGTCTTTAGGGTTTGGGGTTAGAAGGCAGAGTGCCATAGTATTAGGGGTTTGAGGGTAATGAAAGGGTTAGGGTTAGAGTTTCAGGGTCTTTATTATATTTAGGGTTTGGGGTTAGAAGGCAGAGTGCCATAGTATTAGGGGTTTGAGGGTAATGAAAGGGTTAGGGTTAGAGTTTCAGGGTCTTTATTATATTTAGGGTTTGGGGTTAGAAGGCAGAGTGCCATAGTATTAGGGGTTTGAGGGTAATGAAAGGGTTAGGGTTAGAGTTTCAGGGTCTTTAGTATATTTAGGGTTTGGGGTTAGAAGGCAGAGTGCCATAGTGTTAGGGTTTGAGGGTAATGAAAGGGTTAGGGTTAGAGTTTCAGGGTCTTTAGTATATTTAGGGTTTGGGGTTAGAAGGCAGAGTGCCATAGTATTAGGGGTTTGAGGGTAATGAAAGGGTTAGGGTTAGAGTTTCAGGGTCTTTAGTATTTAGGGTTTGGGGTTAGCAGGCAGAGTGCCATAGTGTTAGGGTTTGAGGGTAATGAAAGGGTTAGGGTTAGAGTTTCAGGGTCTTTAGTATATTTAGGGTTTGGGGTTAGAAGGCAGAGTGCCATAGTATTAGGGGTTTGAGGGTAATGAAAGGGTTAGGGTTAGAGTTTCAGGGTCTTTAGTATATTTAGGGTTTGGGGTTAGAAGGCAGAGTGCCATAGTGTTAGGGTTTGAGGGTAATGAAAGGGTTAGGGTTAGAGTTTCAGGGTCTTTAGTATTTAGGGTTTGGGGCTAGAAGGCAGAGTGCCATAGTTTTAGGGTTTGATAGTATTAGGGATGCACAAATCACGTGAAGTGGCTACGAACTGCTGGATGTTGCGCTTTTCTGCGTTGACCACACTGTCAAGCGAATCACGTGCAGGCGAAGCAGGGTACAGCTGGGTGACGCGACAACGTCTGGCACTCTGCCTTCCCAGCTGCTGGCACTCTGCCTTCCCGCCTCAAGATCCATTAATTATTGCCATTTGGAATGCATCCCCAACTTTGCACGAAGCTGGTCGGTCAAAGGTATTGCTCCAGCATCAAGGTCAGGAAGTTCCCCCGGACCACCGAGACGGATGGCAACAAGTGAGAGGAGTTTCATCTGAAGGACAAACTGCCGTTGTTGTTCATCTTCGTCGTTCCAAACATAAACAAAATCACAAACGAGAGAAACGCGCGGCAACTCCAGCGGTTCTTCTCCTTCACCCACCTGATAACACTTCGGGAAGGGGCCTTCGTGCTGTCGAAGAAGCCTGAGGCCTGCTGTAATGCGGGAGCCAATAAGTGGCCAGTAACGCAGGTAGCGAACCATGATTTCCCAAGGCACGTCGTCATAAACTTCCTTCCATCTCTCAGCTGGTCTCCACTGGACAGGCGCTTTGGCCAATTTTTCGCAAGCGGTTTGATCAAGATTGGGGAGAGCTCGCCTCTGAAGAAACACTCTCCTCGTTCGATCGGGGCGAAATGCATTGCTCTGGACGGCTACTGTTCAGTCACAAGCACGCACGGCTTCAAACCACATGTGCTAGTTTGTGCGGCTTCCGGGTTGTGGCACTCGAAATGATTGTCCATGTGCTTGCACGTGACAAATTCCACATGTGTGAAAATGCGAACATGCTTTCGCAATCCGTCTTCCCCAAGCAGAAACACACAGTCTCTCGGACGCATTCCAATCTAGCAGGACCCGCTGCCATCAATGCAAGCACACAGACAGACACACAACTTTTCTTTGCAGCGCAGGATGAATCCTCTAGTTGTTGCCAGGCCTCCTGGTCGGGCCACAACAGGGCCTATGGTCAATGACGTGTTGTCTGGCCTGCGCTTCTGTCATCTTGGAAGCCACACGTCCCCAGTGATAGGGTACGAGGTGGCTCCACTCGCCTTCAATGCCAGACACACATGGGTTCATGTAATGTGACACAACACACAGCAGATCAGGCAACCACATCGAAGCTATAACAAATGTTCCGAATCTTTCCAAGAGACCGCCGTCTGTCACACGAACTCGGAGAAACCATTTTGCTTTGTCAGTGCCACCAGGATTCGGGTCGTACTTCATCTCACCAGCGATCTTGGGACACTCCGGGCATTGAACAGGTGTCCATACCCCTTGGTAGTCAACACGGTTCGGCCGCCGCTGATGTTGGGGGCCACGGACTGCAACCTCCCGTGGCTCGAGTGCTGGGATAGGCACTGCAGGCACCTCCGGCATCTCAGCAGGAGGGGCTGGCACTCTGCCTTCCTCGGGCTCCACGTGATCATCAGGCTCTGGGACAGGGATTGCAGCAGGCACCTCCGGCATCTCAGCAGGAGGGGCTGGCACTCTGCCTTCCGCGGCCTCCACGTGATTATCAGGCTCCGGCTCCACCGGCACCTCAGCAGGAGGTGCTGGCACTCTGCCTTCTGCTCCCTCTTGACCACTTTCATCAGGAGGCGCGGGTTGCTTCCTGGGCAACATACGTGGGCGACAAATCTTTCTCTTGGCTTTCCGTTTGGCCTGTGGCTTGGCCTTTGCTTTGGTCTTTGCTTTGGCCTTGCCCTTTGCCTTGGCCTTTGCTTGCTGCGTCTTGATGGCCTGCCAGGTTTGATGCACCCTTTTGATTCTGCGTTTTCTGACTGCGTCTGAGACCATTTTAAATTCCTGTTTGTCCTCAGCAAGCAGGTCGTCAAGAACCAGCTCATCAACAAAGTCCCCCATGATAATGTCATCCTCATCCTCATCCTCTGTTGAATCTTTGGCTGTCGAATACATAGCCTCAATTTTGCGCATGAAATCCTCATCTTCCGGAAGGTGATGAGAAGCGATCAGGCTCATGAGCTTTGGACGGCGCATTCGTTGCAGCTCCTTTCGCTTTTTTTCGTCTACGTTTCCAGTCTGGGAGATCACATGCTCGGCGAGATTCTGGCAGTCTGCGAGAGTCCGACATGCTTGTGACATTTCCCTCAGTCGAGTCAGCAAAAACAAGCACAGCAAAACTTATATAAGTTTATTGTACTATTTACTGTATGGGTCGACAGTTGACAGAATCCTAAATGAAAACATGTCACTTGGGATGCTGCAACATATAGGATAGAAGTGACACTGAGCTTGTAGCACAACGACGGAGGCAAATGAAGCCATTCCAGAAGACTGCCTCTGTTTCGATGACTTCCCAATACTGGGGCTCATACAAATGAATCCAGCAGGCCTTGACGCTGGAACCATCCGGGCACTCTGCCTTCAAAACAAAATATATCTCTCCTGTCGACTGGTCCTCATGCTGGACCACTGGCCACATGAGAGCAGCCCAGGTTTTTGCCCCAAGAGAGAGATAGCATGTCAAATCCAAGACATGGTTCAAGATCTTCAAAGGGGCTGCAAGGCTGCTAAACTTCCCAGCACGCAAGGGAACATGCTGAGATGCCAGTCTTGCATCATTGTAGTGAATTAGCCATGACCACGCAGCTGATGCTCGTTCGAGTGTCTCTTCTGACAGGGTGTTCCATGTCTTGTCGCCGACAATCTCGGTATACTGTGACGGCAGCTTGTGGACACATCCTCTGAAGCACAACTTTTGGCGCTTCCTGTCCACATTCCAAAACTCCCTTTCAAAATATTCCCGTTTGACTTTTGCCGGATGCCTGATTGAACGGCTTTCAAAGACGTTTGAATTCTCGATCACAGTTTGAATCGTGGAGTATGTTTGCTTGCGGGTTTTGTTCAACAAAGAATCATTACGAATCTTGTTGTGCACATCTTCCACAATCTTGTTGTCTGGCAGCGTCTGCACCAGAACACTCAGCAGGTGGGTTGCAGGGCATGC